CAGTCACTATTATCACTCTTATACAATTCTTAATTAATTACTATAATTAGTTAATACTTTACCTATCACTATAAGAACGATAACAATATATTCAAGAAATAATAATTTATTTTGAAATATATTATATTTTTCTAGATTAAGTTTAAGTTCAGCTTTATGAAGCTTTTCAAAAACTTTTTGTAAGTATTCCAAATGTTCTTTAAATATTTGAGAGTAAATATTAATGTTATTCAAATAGACTAATATGAATTGATATTTGTATTCAACCAAAATAATATTCATAATTTATTGAAAAGTTGCAAAATTATTACATACTTTAAGAGTATTGAATTGAATTCAAACAAGTCTTGTTTTGACATAAAAACTATTTTTAGTTTACTGTTTTCTTCTACTGATATTTGCCAGTATTCAAAAGATAAATTCAATAATAAAAATTATTTTAAATTTTCAAGATTGTCTAATATTTCATCAATTCTTGAAAGTAAATATGCATATTTTTGAATGACTGAATTCAACTTTCTATAATCTATACAAAGTTATTTCTTTTTATTCTTTTTAGATACTACAATGATTGAAAAAATTCAGTAACTTATTGAAGATTATATAATTTCAGCTTGAAGCATTTTTGTATTTCTTTAATAATAAATTCTTGATTTAGGCTTATTGCTCTATATGATCACTATTTGATTAGAATAGCTCCATCAGTGTTAATTATATATTGAATATTTTGAGTACACTCAAGTTTGTTGAGTTCTTGTATAAAAATATTTTTGTATACTTTCAAAAGATTATTTAGTAATTGTTGTTGCATGACAGTTAATTCTTTTTGTTGCATAATTAGTTTTTCAAGTACTTGTTAAATAAAGTAATTTTCTCTCTTAATCAAGTTAGTAGAGCTAAAATTATTAGTTCCTCTCTCTGTTTCATCAAGTTCTTTTTGAGTTGGTATAGTTGATACTGAAATTAGCTTTTCAACAGATGCTAGTTGTAAAAAAATTGCTTGAGCAATTCTAGTATTTGGAAAAATATCATAGAATTGCTGAGAGTTGTGAAGTATAATATCAATATTTCCAGTATATCCAGTATTAATTGTTCCATCTTGGATGTTGAGACTAGAATTTCTTTACAAGTGTAATATTTACTTTTATTGTCTTTTTTGATTAATATAATAATTAATAATATATAATGGAATTAAAAAAAGAATTTACTAATTCCCTCCAAGTTCTGATTGATTGAGAATATTAAAGATTAATTTTAGTGTTAGGATTAAAGATTAGGGTTAGAATTGGAAAAAGATTATATGTAAAATTGTCTTTCCGACATTTGTTTTGCCGGGCTGATCAAAAATTTGCGCATGTGATCAGGAACCGAGCACAGATTATAACTACGCGTATTCCTAGTAAAGCACAAACTACTGAAATATGCTTCGTCGTAATCCAACCCGTCTAGACCTTCGTCAAGACGATATTGACAATATTGAACGACTTCGTGAAGAATACCAAAAGAACCTTGCAACTCAGAGAACTCAAGAAATTGGCAAGGGAAAACGAAAAAGCGTAGAGCTAGAAGAAATGGATGATGGAATGGATGCCAATGATGGTGAAATTGATGGTGAATTAATGTTGACCGAAGAACAGCAAAATCTGCAACAGCAGCAGACCTCAAATGAAGCTGAAAGTCCAATTGTAGGGTCTGAAGTGACAAAAAACAAGAGAAAAAATATGACAATAGCTGAAAGAATTGGTCTTTGAACGATTATTACTTGACTATAGGATATCTCGTTTGCTTGCATTTTTATCAAACATTTGTTACATGAATGAAAAAAACGTCAGAATAAATAACTCTTAATTGAATCTTGTGTCTACGAGTACAAAATTATTTATATTTGCATAACTATTTCTTTATATAATTGATTTATGGTTCTTCAGTCTTCAAATTCTATTATGACCTCGTCAGTAGCCACGGCATCTCCCGGTTTCACGTTGACCTTTTTTATCTTGCCGAGTCGAGCAGCCTTTAATACATTTTGCATTTTCATGGCTTCCACTATTGCAAGTTCAGCTCCTTCATTTACCTAAAAAAAAAAACGTCAAGAAATACAAATTAATCGAAAGATCAGAATAATATTTTGCTTTATTAATTACCTCATCACCAACTTTAACCGCCAAGCTTACTACACTCCCAGGCATAGGAGCTAATATTACTTTGGTCAAATCTGCTTTAGGTTTCTCGATCATATATTGCGATAATTCATGCTGTCTTTGGGTGTGAATTGTAATATCGAATTTAGTCCCCTTGTATTGTAGCCGGAAACCGACTGGTAAAGGATCTATGTATTGTACGGTTAATACTTCTTCAGTTTTATCCGGAGTTTGAAAATGAGCATTAATTATTGGAGATTCAATAGGCCAATTAGAGAATACCGTGGTTGGAGGTTGATCAAGAGTTTTTATCTATCAGATCGATAATATAACCAAAGACATGAAATCGGTAATCGAAATGTTAGAAATTACTATATGATCATAATTACATACCAAAAATTCATCTTTGTCTTGTAAGCTTTTGTGCTTTCGTTCAATTCGTACAGGTACATTTTGAAAACCACCTTCTCCGGTTTTTACTTTAACCCAAAGATCCCAAGTGTGTGGAGTTTTTCCGCTTAAGGTGCCTTTTAATAAGGCCTCCTTTCCTTCACCCCAACACCAATTTCTTACATCCCGTTTAGCATGAACTAAAGCAGCGACTGACGCAAGATGGAAAAGTGATTGTTGATTGAGCACGTGACCTTGGAAACCTTCGGGATATTCCTCTGCGAGGAATTTAGTGGTTATTTTGCCAGATTGGAATCTCTCGCTTCCAATAACCTCACGCAGTAAAGGTATATTATGAGTAACGCCTTGGAAAATATATGAGTATGCAAACATAATTTCAATGAGATTAATGTATAATTTATAATATAAATATATAATTAATACCTTTTATTACATATGAATCTAGTGCTCTCTTCATAACATTAATTGCTTCGTCTCTAGTTTCTCCGTAAGTTGCAAGTTTACATATTAAAGGATCATAATATATACTAATTTCACTTCCTTCTATTACACCAGAGTCGCAACGAACTTCGTTCTTATCAGTGAGACTGACTGGCTCGATATATTTACTCAGACGTCCAATCGACGGTAAATATTTTTGGGGGTCTTCAGCATAGACACGTGATTCTATTGCCCATCCGCGGAAATTTATGTCTTCTTGTTTAAATGACAATTTCTGATTGGCTGCTACGCGTATCATTTGCTCTACTAAATCTAGTCTAGTTATGTATTCGGTGATTGGGTGTTCGACTTGGAGACGAGTGTTCATTTCAAGGAAATAAAAATTTCGCTGAGAATCGACCAGAAATTCTACCGTTCCAGCTGATGAATAATTTACATGCTTCGCTAAAGCGACAGCTTGTTCTCCCATAGCTTGTCGAGTTGTTTCGTCCAAGTGGGTGCTTGGGGCTTCTTCGATCACCTGTAAAATATTTAAATAATTCGTAAATTACTAATACATTCATCATTCCTTTATACCAAGTATATAATTACCTTTTGATTTCGTCTTTGAATAGAGCACTCTCTTTCCGGAAGATATAGACAATTTCCGTGTTTATCCGCAATAATTTGTATTTCAATGTGACGTGGATTATCTACGTATTTTTCGACTAATAATCGATCATCCCCAAAACTTGATTTAGATTCTTGTGTAGCAAGTTTGAAACCTTCTCTGATTTGATCGTCATTCCTATTTAGAGAAAGATACTAGTATTATTTATTAAAAAATAGTGGAACTACAAAAAAGCTAGAATAGATGCAAACTTACCATGCTATTCGCATACCCTTACCACCACCTCCAGCAGAAGCTTTTAGCATCACTGGATATCCGAGTTCACGAGCTATCAAAAGGAAAATTTAGCATGTAGAAAAAAGATGAAAACGACAAAATCTAATCTACCGATTGAAAAAGCATGATCTTCATTTTTGCAAATTCCATCAAAACCAGGAATTACATTTACGCCGGATTTCTTGGCAATAATTTTACTTTCAATTTTATCACCCATGGCACCCATTGCATATTCACCAGGACCAATAAAGGTTATTCCGAGCTCATCAAGAGCTTTTACAAAATGTGCGTTTTCAGAAAGGAAACCATATCCTAAAAGACCAAGAGAGACTAAAAGTTAGAAATCATCAATAAACAGTTAAGTTTATAAAATGACAGACCTGGATGAACCGCTTGAGCTCCTGTACTCTTTATAGCATCCAAGATGGCAGGTAAATGTAAATAACTTTGATTTGTAGGCGGAGGTCCCTATTTTATAAACGCGAGGATACATCGAGACATAATTCTTAGTTGTATTCTAAATATATCATTCTAAATATATCATTATACATACCACATTAACGGCTTCATCAGCTAATCGAACATGTAAACTACGAGCGTCTGCATCCGAATAGATCGCGACGGTTTTAATGCCCATTTTTTTGGCCGTGCGAATTACGCGAACCGCGATTTCACCACGATTTGCGATAAGAATTTTATCAAAGGTCTGAATAAGAGATAGTCATTAAGATAGTTATTTTGAACGCTTAGAATAAAAAAAGGTTTCTTACTTTGCCATAGTCTGGTTTCGTCTGTTGAGCATTCGCATATAGATTAGCTAACGAGTAATGAAACCCACGAACATAAGAATTAACCGAACGACGTATGTATTTAGAATGGCTCTGATGAATTAATAATAAATTGGCCGCAAAGTGTGTCCTGGAAAGGTTTAACGCGTGCATTTGCGTAGCCATTTGGCAATAAACTAAATTTGCCTTCAAAAGAATGAATGGTAAGAGATCACCAAAGCAAACCTGGAATAACAACCAAAAATTATTGAATAAAGTGGCTAAGTTAGCAGGTAACAGGAAGATCCCCTTATTTTACCTTGTAATATTCAGCGGCGAAAATTAATTAAGCCAACGTGCTTCACATAAAGAAAATGGATAATTGGCTTCGTATCATACGATGTTACGTGTTCTCGAATAAGGATGTGCGAAATCAGCTCACCTTCAGATCTTATGTAGATCATTTTCGTTCTTCAGTCAGCTAATTATCCTTGGTGAGATCTGCTTTCTCTCGTTAAATAAAGATGTCCAAATTCGTTTCGTTTACTCGTTCTATATCGCCTGTGTTCTCGCGTGTTTTACCACGCAGACCAATTAAATTTGCCAATAACTATCTTCCTCCTTTAGTTACAAATTCCGTCATTAAAAGATTTGCGTCTGGAAATACAAAAGAAGAAGTAATTATTAATTTACCTCTTAATTTGTTGGTGTTTGCTAAACAGCTAAATATGAAATTAACTTTGGCTTTCTCTGCTAGGATGTAATCAATAGAATCCAACAAAAACGAAGTAATGCGCAATTGGGTGGTGGTCTACACAGGATAGAAGCTCAGCACAAAAAAGTATTCTTTGATTTTCTTTTTTAAATTTGATTGATTTTCATCTCAAACGCCCAGAATTGACATTGATTATTTCAAAGGGAAAATTGACTGCACGAGAACGGATTGATCTATTGTTAGATCCAGGTTCCTTTAATGAATATGATACCTTTGTAGAACATCAATGCCATGATTTTGGCATGGAACAAAATAAGGCAAGTCTTATTGGATCATTAAAGATGCTTTGATCTAAAGTTTCTTTATTTTCAAATAACTTCCTGTGTGATTTAATGAATGAATAGATTACAGGAGATGGTGTGGTCACCGGACATGGAACAATTAATGGCCGGCAGGTGTTTGTGTTTTCTCAAGATTTCACAACTTTTGGTGGTAGCTTATCAAAAATGCATGCAGCCAAAATCTGTAAAGTTATGGATAAAGCTGTCTTGGTTGGTGCGCCGGTTATCGGCTTGAATGATTCTGGCGGTGCTCGTATTCAGGAAGGTGTCGATTCCTTAGCCGGTTATGCTGAAATTTTCCAAAGAAATGTACTATCGTCGGGAGTAGTACCTCAAATTTCGCTAATAATGGGTCCATGTGCCGGTAATTTTTTAGCTTGCACATCTTGTCATATTAAAATTCATGTTATATTTAACATAATTGCTTACAAATTTTTTAGGCGGCGCTGTTTACTCTCCTGCTCTTACAGATTTTACCTTCATGATTCGTGATACCTCATATTTATTTGTCACAGGACCTGAAGTTGTAAAGACTGTGTGTAATGAAGAAGTTACACAAGAAGAACTGGGTGGTACAAAAACACACACAGTCTTATCTGGCGTTGCACACAATGCTTTTGAGAATGATATCGAGGCACTTCAACGGTATGAATATCATTCTTATTAATCATTATGTTATTTATGATATATGACTGGAGTTAATTTTGTATTTTCTAAATGCGAAAAGTGTACGTGATTTTGTCGATTTTTTGCCGCTGTCTAACCGAGAGGAAGCTCCTGTCCGCTATACGGATGATTCTCCTCATCGGGAAGATCTTTCCTTGAACCATATTGTACCCGTTGATTCAGCAAAAGCATATGATATCCGTGATGTTATATCTCGACTCATCGATGATGGCATCTTTTTTGAGATTATGCCAGATTTCGCGAAAAACATTGTGATTGGATTTGCAAGAATGGACGGTCAAACTGTTTCTATTGTTGGGAATCAACCTTTAGTGTCTTCTGGTGTTTTAGATATCAATTCTTCGATCAAAGCAGCTCGGTGGGTCAGATTTTGTGACGCGTTTAACATCCCTATTATATCACTTGTTGATGTACCAGGTTTTCTTCCTGGAACAGCACAAGAACACAATGGTATCATACGACATGGAGCAAAACTCTTATATGCTTATGCTGAAGTAAGAAAATATTAGCATAACAATGGCACTATTAATATAGATTAATATGCTGCTCAATTATCAAATTCTATATACTTTAAAACTTCAGGCCACCGTCCCAAAAGTCACCATTATTACAAGAAAAGCATACGGTGGTGCTTACGACGTAATGTCTAGCAAGCATCTTCGTGGTGATGTATGTATTACACTGTTTATATTATAAATATACGTAACAAATTCAAGTGTATTTTAAATTCTCGTTTTATTTAGATAAATTACGCATGGCCAACTAGTGAAATTGCTGTGATGGGAGCAAAGGTAAGAATCAACTGTTTCTTTGGCATTATTTGCGTAAATTTATTTTTTCTCTTGTTATATTGATTGTTAGGGCGCTGTTGAAATTATATTTCGTCACGTGAAAGATCGTAGCCAAGCAGAACAGGAGTATATTGGTAAATTTTAAATTTAGTTATTAATTGACCTCTTGTCTAATTTCTTTATTTTCAATGCATTTTACTTAATTCACAGATAAGGTAATTGTAATTATCAAAGTTATTCTAATTTGTCTATTCTACATATCGAGCAATGAATTATGCACATTACTTATCCTGATAATGATGTAGTTCGCTAATCCTCTTCCAGCGGCAGCCAGAGGGTAATATTTCAGCTATAATTTTTGTGTTTTCTTTTGATTCCTAAATTAAATCCGTATTTTTTTCTCAATCCGTAACCATTAAGTTTCATCGATGACATCATTCTCCCATCTGTGACGAGACGGCGAATTATAGATGATCTTGCAGTTCTTAAAACGAAAAAATTAAATAATCCCACTAAAAAACATTCTAACTGTCCGGTAGGTCCAATGATTTATTTGATCACAAGAAAAAAATTTCTTTATTAATCAATTATCTTTGATATTTTCTAGTTGTAAATTCTGATACTCACGGTTCGATGCAGTGTGATGATGTAGACACTTCTTAGACATATGTTAACTGAATTTATTTCATGGACGATATTAACGAACTGTAGTGATCCATTAACCTGTATGACTTTTCTTAGACATAAGTTTTTTATAGTAAATGATTAAGAAATGTAAATTAATCTTAAAACTCTTTTTAGTACTAATTAAGGAAAAAAAGCATTCATAATTAGTATTTAAATTGGATATTTATTTATTTCTTCACCATTTACTAGATTAATTTATATATTTACCAACTTTTTATTTGGTTAATTTCTGTTGTAAATCTAGACAAAATGTCTAATATTTCCTAAAGCTCTGTTTGAATTGGGTCGAGTTATTTCTTCACAATATTTCATATTCTAGTATTCAATATTTCAAGATATACTTTGGACGTTTGGAAAGTGGATCATGGGATCATTAATTTGAATTGATAATTTTAGATTAGATTAGATCAGATCAGGTTCAGGTCAGGTTTGATTCAAAAATTATAAAATAGTTTTTCATTAATAACATTTATTTTTATTAAGACATCTGTATTTTGTGTCTTAAGTAAAGTTATTTGGAATATAGTGGTGTATATATTTCAAATTTTTGTTTAATTTCAATTAATATTGAATGAAAAATAACAATTTTTAGACTAATCTGAAATATTTTAGATCAGATTTGATTTCAATCTGATCTGATTTGAAATACATGTTTTGGATCTAATCACATATTGAACATAATCCAGTTAAAGCATTAAGCTTTTCTCTATTTTTTTTTAGAATTCTTAGTCTTTTTTATTTTTATTTTTATATTATTATTTTTAACAAGATTTTTCAAGATTGATATATATATTTTTTTTGATTTGTTTTATAAAATTTCTTATAATAAATATATTTTTGTTATAACAAATTAAAAATAAATATAATTATAATAAATATTATTATGTTATTTTATATATTATCACTATTTTCAGAGTTATTACCTATAATGATATTTCTGAAAAATAACAAGTGACTGTATTGTTGTATAATGGAATTTCACATTAATTATTAGTCAAAATTATCATTTAATCTTATTGGATAATTTTGAAAACACATGTTTATATTTAATTAGTTAAGATCTTCTTATTTACATTTCGTATTATATTATTATTTGTACTATTATTTA